TCTGCCTCCCAAGTGCTGGGATTAAAGGCGTGTGCCACCACACCCGGTGATAGTCAAACATTTTACAAAATAAGATAAAATAGAATTGGAGCTAAATATTAGAACTGACATCTGTAAGGCAGGAGGATTACTGAAAGTCAAGTTTGAGATCAGCCTGGGATACATAGTGAGTTCCAGGCCAGCTTGGACTATCTCAGAAAACAAAACAGCCAGGTGTGGTGGCGCATGCCTGTAACCTCAGCACTTGGGAGGCAGAGAGGCAGGCTGATCTCTATGAGTTCAAGGCCAGCCTGGTCTACATAATGAGTTCCAGGTCAGCTGGGGCTACAGGGAGACCCAGTCTGAAAAAAGACCCCCCCCCCAAAAAAAACCAGAATTGATATCAGTACTAGAAATTATTCTCCCCCCAAAAATAATGGGAGCAAGGTATAGCAGGTATATATATTTTCTGAATCAGCCTAAATTGATTGAAGATTGATTAAAGTTCTCTCTCTCTCTCTCCCTCTCCCTCTCCCCTTTCCTCCCTCCCTCCTCCCATGTTGAATGCATGACCCAGAAAGTCCTATGAATTTGAAGACTTACTGCAGTCTTCCTCCGAGAACAACAGGGTGGACTGGTATGCACAGACTAAGTTGGGATTCACACGCACTTTATCGGAGGAGAACGTCTATGAAGACATTCTAGGTAAGAGACCGAAATATCTGTGGAGGGCCATGACTGTCTCTGAGAAAAAGGAAGAGGAAATGGGGGTGCTGCTTGAAATCACACACACACACACACACACACACATACACACATTCTTTCTGTGTCTGCTGTCTCTGTCTTTGTCAGACAGAAGTGCAGACGAATGAGAAAGCAGCAGGTAGGTGGTCTGGGAAAGGGACCTCAATGTGGCAAGTGAGAACACAGGGCTGGGGGAGAGAATGGCTGGCAGTGAACAGCTCAGGAAGCAACAGGGTGATCAAAGAAAGAAGAAGCCTGCATCTCAAGATCCATGATGGAATCTTGGCTCTGCCACTTGTTAGTTGTGTGACAGCTTAGAATTAGATAAGGGCATGGAATTTGAGTTCTCTCCTCCGTTAGTGAGGAGGATGGCTCCCTTCCAGGTTGTTTAAGGACTGGTGAGCATGCAGAAGACCTGGTTTCTAACAGGTGCTCGCTCCATTAGGTGTTACCGAATGAAAACACTGCCGGCCAGCATGCTCTTTCAGATGCTGTAGGAGTGTGGCTTCAACAGGGTATCAAAGCACAGACTAAATGCATGTCTGTGGCTAGAAAAATAACTTCTAAAGACTCTGCAGACTCCAAAGAGGGCCAGGATCCAGAGTTTGTTTGGGAGTTCAGTGACCTTTAAGGAAGAACTCAATAAAGTGGATCTCAGACCTGTGTCTGCTTATGGTGGCAGAGAACAATCGCATGAGAGGGAGACGCTCACAGGTGTGTGCACTTGAGGGACAGATAGGGCAAATGTCCACAGAGAGGCACACATGGGATCACCAGTACCAGAAAAACCTCATGGGAAGAAGCCCAGTACTTGAGGAGGATGACCACTTAGCTGAGCCTTTTGAGTTGCACTGTCAGGCTGGGTTCCTGCTCATGTAATGAGATAACAAAGGTAGTTTGAGGGCTTCTCTTAACCATAACTGGTCTTTCCTTTCTGTTTATCTCTGTATATTTTTTTTTAAATATTTTATTTATATTTTTATTTTACATGTACAAGTATATTACCTGCAGGTGTGTGAGTGCACCAGTATCATGCAATGCTGTGGAGGTCAGAAGAGGGCGTTGGGTTCCCCTGGAACTGGAGTTAAGGACAGTTCCTAGCTGCCACTTGGGTGCTGGGAATCAAACCTGGGTCCTCTGCAAGAGCAGTCAGTGCTCTTAACCACTGAGCCATCTCTCCAGCCCCTATCTATATTTTTAAAACCTTAGTTTTATTGGCCGGGTGTGGTGGCACACGCCTTTAATCCCAGCACTTGGGAGGCGGAGGCAGAGGCAGGCAGATCTTTGTGAGTTCAAGGCTAGCCTGGTCTAGATAGTGAGTTCCAGGAGAGCTGGGGCTACAGGGAGACCCTGTCTCAAAAAGACAAAAAAACAAACAAACAAAATTTAGTTTTATTTTATGTGTGTGAATATTTTGCATGTGTATACAATGCCCATAGAAACCAGAAGAGGGCATTGGATCCTCTAGAACTGGAATTACAGATGGTTGTTAGCAGCCATGTGGGTGCTGGGTCCTCTGTCAGAGCAGCCAGTGCCCTTAACTGCTGAGCCATCTCCCAAGATGATTCCATTTCCAGCAGGCTTCCCGTGGTCTCCAGGAAGGCTTCCTAGAACCCATGTCTTTCCACTATAGAAGAGCCTAGGGCCTGCAAGTCCCAGAAGAAGTTCTGAGTCACCCTGGCCAGATCAGCTAATGTCCTGTGTTCACTTCAAAGGCCAGTAATGCCATGCAGTGATTGCCATAGGCTTGAATATGACCCTTCCCCGAACTCTCCTCAGAGGGAGGGATCCAGGCTCCACAGAGTGGCAAAAACTGAAGCTGGGAGTGGAGTTGCTTGATGTAGCTATAAGTCGGGAAACCAAGGAGTTATCCCCACTGAAAATCAGGATCTGTTGCCAAGAGGAAAGGGGATGGCCAGGAAAACAACAGGCATCCCGTGAGGTCTGACAAGGAAGAGACCAAGATGGTGGGTGGCCTTAGAGTTCTCAGAAGGAAAACTTCCAAGGTTCCTGACCCCGTTTGCCTTTCACAGATCCGCCAATGAAGGAAAACCCTTATGAGGACATTGAGTTACATGGCCGCTGCCTGGGAAAGAAGTGTGTCTTGACCTTTCCTGGGTCTCCTACCTCTTCCATCCCTGACACTTCCGCCAAGGTAGGCACCTCAGACGTTCTGGAGTTTCCTCTCTGGTCTGTCCATCTGCTGACTGACTGGTCTTCTATCAACCTGCTCCTGAGTTTCTCAAAGTACCATTAGCTTCTAGATCAAAACCCTCCACTAACTGAGTCACTAAAAAGCAGTTCATTCAGACAGTACAGTTTTGGGTTTTGTTTTTGGGTTTTTTTGTCGTTTTCAGACAAGGTCTCCCTGTAGAGTACAGTTTTTGAAAAGAGTGTCCCAAACTGAGCATGGTAGCTCACACCTGTAATCCCAGCACTTGGGAGACAGAGGCAGAAGAATTGCTGCAAGTTCAGGGCCTGCCTGGTCTATATAGCCAGAACTACATAGTGAGACCTTGACTCTAAATAAATAAATAAAAGTTAATTAATTAAAAAGAATTTTTTTAAGTATCTTTTTTTATTGGTTTGGTTTTGCTTTTTTTTTTTTTTTCAGTTTTTTTTTTTTTTTTTTTTTTTTTGAGACAGGGTCTTTCTGTAGTCCTAGATGGCCTGGAACTCACAGAGATCCTCCTGCCTCTGCCTCCGGAGTGCTGGAATTAAAGGCGTGAGCCACCATACCCAGCTTGTTTTATGTTTTTTATTTTTTGTTTTTGAGACAGTGTCTCCATGTAGCCCCAAATGGCCTGGAACTTTCTATGTAGATCAGGCTGGCCTCTATCTGAGATCCTTCTGCCTCTGCCTCCCCAGTACTAGGATTAAAGGTGTATGCCACCATTCCCAATTTGTGTACATTTTTTAAAACGAAAGAATATGTATACCTATAAACTCACATCTGTTTGTGCTGATAATTCCAGAGCTGAGTAGGCAGAGACAAAAGAATCACAGAGACTGATGGCCAGCTGATTTAGAGGCCAGTGAGAGACTTTGTCTCTAAAGCAAACAAAACACGCAAAAAATAAGAATATCCTGAGGAACAGCACTCAAGGTTGACCTCTGACCTTCACACACACCTCTGCACATCTGTGTACACCTGCACACATGAACATGCACAAAAAAAGTTAGAAGAAAAAAGCTGTCATACCTATTCTGTCCCCTCACATCCTACCTAGTTCTCCACTCCGTGGGGAGTCACTGCTCTTAGAGGCAGTAGAAAACATCTGCCCAGAGCATCTCTGTTCCAGGCAGGCAGCTCTTCCTTCATACCAGAAAACGAAGGCTGAGCAGCCCCTTTTTTCCTGCTTCTGCCATGCTGAGCAAACTTGGAGCCTCTGTCACTAGAATAGACAAATTCGGGCAGTGGTGAGGCCTACCAAGCCTGTCCAGATGAGCTGTCTTGGATAGCAGCATCTGTTGACCAGTGTTCCTGACCATGCAGACTGTTTGGACCTGTGCAAGTCATCCTTGGGGCCTTGTGAATATGCTCATTACCCTGCTCTCCCACATCTGGGTGTCTGATCTGTGCCTGGGTTCTGAGGGACAGCTGCAGACTTCGCCACTTCCTCCATTTAGCTCATCAGCTGTTCATTGAGCATCTGCCACATCTGGTTGCATCTGGGACCCTAGAAGTAATTGAAGCAGCCGCTCTGTGTCGAACTCCCCTACCATCCTCAGAAAGGGCCTAAGCCATCTTTGGGATATTTGTTTAATTAACTCCTGCCTGGTCCCAGTGAAAATGGAAAGGGTGGACAGTTGGACAGAGTCTCCTCAAAAAAGGGCACATGTGCAGCCAGGGCAAATGGTAAGGCCTGCCAGCCCGGAAGGCAAGTCTCTCCTAAGGAGAGACTGTCTTTTTTGTTTGGTTTGGTTTTTACTACATGTTAAACAATCCATACCTGGTACAGCACAAGGAATGTAGCAGGAACTGGAAAAAAATTGGCTGTATGTGTATGTGGTGTGTGTGCATGTGTATTCTCATGTATGGGCGCATGTGTGCATGGGTACCCTGCACTTGTGTGCTCATGCATGTAGAGGCCAGAAGTTGATGTCGGTGTCTTCCTTAGTCACTGTTCATTTTGTCTACTGGGGCAGAGTCTTGCTGAACCTGGAGCTCACCATTTCAGCTGGTCTGGCTAGCAGCTTGATCCCCTGTCTCTGCCTCCTGAGCACTGGGATTATAGGCCTGCTGTCACCTATCAGCCCAGCTTCTTATAAGACTTGGATCCTTGGTGCCAGAGAGATGGCTCAGTAGTTAAGAGCACTGACTGCTCTTGAAGAGGACCCAGGTTTGATTCCCAGCACCCACATGGTGGCTATGAACGGTCCTTAATTCCAGTTCCAAGGGAATCTGAAGCTCTCTTCTGACCTCCACAACATTGCATGTTACGGGTGTACTCACATGCAGGCAATACACTCATACACATAAAAAATAATAAATAAATTTTTTTTTTTTAAAAAAAAGGCTTGAAGCCAGATATGGTGGTGCACGCCTTTAATCCCAGCACTCGGGAGGTAGAGGAAGGTGGATCTCTGTGAGTTCAAGGCCAGCCTGGTCTACATAGTGAGTTCCAGGACAGCCGGAGCTACAGGGAGACCCTGCTTCAAAAAGACAAAAAAAAAAAAAGGCTTGGATCCTCACACCTGCACAGCAAGTGCTTTATCTAGTGATTCATCTCCCCAGTCTGTCTGTCTGTCTGTTTGTTTTGAGATATGGTCTCACTATATGATACCTCAACTTGCTGGCCTCAAACTTGTAAATTCTCCTGCCTCAGCCTCCTGAGCGTTAGGATTATAGGTGTGTGCTACTATATCTGACGGGAACTAATTTTTTTTCAGTTTATTATTTAATAACCACATACTTAGAAGACGCATTTCATTACAACAGCATTGACATAGTCAATAACAATTTTCTGAGCTAAGATGCATCTTTTTCAAAGTTGGCTGTAAATTTTTAGGTTTACAGTTGAATTAATACACTTATACAATATTGTACTCAGTATAAACCCTATAAGACATAAAATTAAATGAGGTTTTAACCTTTAAAAAGATCTCCATTTCATTATTAAAATACAC